GTTTATGCAGTGTGTCTGCTAACAGGACTTATTTTGTTTAGTTGTTGAATCAGAATTGGATCCCAAGAATCAAATTGCATCAGCTTGGTGTCTGCTGGGGAGAGAGCTACTTAAAAATAGAATGAAAATTGGATGTGGGTGTAGGGAGGTTTTGAAGGCACTAACTAAACTGTTTTGGCAGCTGATTTTCTGTGTTTTTACACTTATCTAGTTTATAAAACATGAATTTAATTATATCAAATTACTAATTCTATAACTGTAATAAGATGTTTTTTTTAAAGATTACTATGTCAATGTATTATTTTCTGTTGAGTCATTGGTGTGCTAATGGAAAAGTTATAGCTAGTTGCTTGACAAATGATCTATGTGCGTAAGTTTCACATCACTTCATTGGAGAGTGCACACTGTGTATTTGCACGGTATAATTGTTCGTACATCCTACATAAATTCCAGTATTTTATAAAAATCTTAAAAAAGCATGATTGTTTTGGCCACTGAACAGTTAAATGTTTTTTTTTTTTGTATAAAAATTGCATTGAGTGGTTGATATCACCAGACACCAGAATATTCAGTCCGCAGTAAGTGCCATGTGTCTATGTTTACCATAATCTTGAACCAAATAAATTTAATATAATGGCTCACTAAAAAAAGTTCTGGTCAAATTTTTTTTTTTGCTATAGTATTTGACAGTGCACAAACCTTTCAGGTTAAACAATTCGTCTATAGAGGGCGCTGTGCAGTAGCAAAATATGTAGAAAAAAAGGATTGGCCTCCACTACATGTTTGTTGACAAGATACAATAATTTATTTTTTAGGCATAATTGAGATTATTCTCTAAAATAATAAAGTAAGGTAGTTTATCATGTTTACTATATTTACCATACAGGTGCTGGTTCAGCACTGCTAGGCAAGGAAGGTGCTATGGCATGCACAGTAGCTGTGGAAGAAGTCATAGGAGAACACTATGACAGGTAAAATAACACCAGTGCAAATGAATATTCTATGACACACTACACTACTATGAACATCCAAAGGCAAAATTAACTTATAGTTGCTTATTTAATTTAAATCCATAGTTCTATGTTATAGATTTATAGTTATTTGTATTGCAGTGTAGTATCGTAGTAGTAATGGTTATGCATGGCTTCTCGACTATTATGATATTTAGAAAAATACAAATTGACCCTTGGCATATGCTGGATTAGGTGATTACACTGGTGTAGTCTGGAGTCCAATTTAAACTGTTTAATTTTCACTGCCAGTAATTGAATTGATGATTTAATGGTGTACAAGAATTAATTTAAAAGTAGTTTATAGTGTCCCATTAATGGGATATCAATAGGCCTTATGCATGACCTCACACATCCTTGAACTTTCTGGGGTATAAAATCACTATCAATGTCAATTCCCCAATTATTTTCCATCCAAAATGTCACACATTCTGGTACTTACCGGGATTACAAATTCATTATCAAAGACAAATTTTCAATTATTTTCTCAAATACATGAGGTTCTAACACATTACAAAGAAGGATGTATAATATTGGAAAGTATTGACTATAATACTCTCCAATAATTCAGGTACCCACAAAAAAGTAACAGGATGTGTGACCATTAAGTTTACCCCAAATGTGCCAGGGATTATCTTATTATAACAACTCTTAACTCTCTTAATTTCTAATATATTTGTTGTAAACAGTCAATTAAGAGAACTTTACAAAGACGATCCAGAAAAACATAAAGCACTTCTGGAAATTATCAAAGAGTTCCGTGATGATGAGCTTGGACATTTAGATACTGGTTTACAACATGACGCTGAACAAGTGAGTAGACTTCATTTGATTGAGATTCAGTTAACCAGGCTATGTTTAAGTTACAAGTGGTGAACTTATTTTTGTATTTTTTGTTTGCTTTGTATTTTTTTCCTCGTAACTGTCATATAATTTTCTTTTACTTAGGGGTAGACCATTAGAAACTCTGGGGGTGGGGTGGGGTGGTAGAATTGAAAAAAAAAATCCCTTTGAATTTTATATAGATTTTTTGCCATTGTTCCTGACTTTTTAATGGTACACCCCTTACATGTAGGCGTGAGTAGCGCCCTCACCGGCTGAACGGCATAAAACCTCATTTGGTTTGCAGCACTCCGGAGGGTGCAACTCACACGATCTCGTCAGGCTACCCTTACAGCTGGTTTTAAATATTGTGTTTTAATTTCCATTAGGAATATGAGTGCAATATGTATGTTCATCCTGTGTTTGAAATGATACAACTCAACTATGATGTGATGTATAAATATATAATAAATAGCAATTTTTTATCTTTGTAGTGATCTTACATTGTACTTGAAATATATTTACACAGCAGTCATTTTGTATTAGAAATTGAAAGACAATATTTAAAACCACTGTACAATATTATTTTCAAAATTGAAAATAAATAATTATTTATGAAATATAAAAAAATAGAACCCATTGTTTCACTATAAATTTAAGACTCAGTGAAAATTAACACATTATACTGTAATGTTTTCTTTTTATATACATAGTTATACTTGGCAGTGTACAGGGGTTTCCTTAGAAGGCGGATATATAGGCGATCAGCCTACTACTCCTGTCCATAATGACTCATTAGCTGACTTTTTAATACTGTGTGGCAGAATACAATTTAACCACCTATTTTCTGATTGAGCCTTCTGAGCCTTCTGATCAAAAACTTAAAAAAAACACTCTGGGATATCCCTTAAATGCAAGATTAGGCCCTAAACATGAATATTGCTGATAATGATAAATGGCTTAAATTTGAGAATCGCAGTTCATACTCTCAGTACAAAATTTAGTGTCAACATCATTATTGGACATGTCTACGACATATGACAACTCAGCAATAAGTTAGATAAGTAATATGAGATTTACTGAATTGAAAACTGTATTCACTATTCACTTAAGTACAAACTTACATGAACGTTGATTACATACTATGCATGATATCCTATGATGACTAATAGAAGCGTTATATATATACAGATTCATTGTTTAGAAATGCAAATATATGGCAGGCACTGAAGGAGAAAATGTTCTAATAAAAAACATAGCCATACCATATCAATTTCAGTATTCTTCAAACAAATGCACTTTTTGGGGTAATTTCATTCCCTACTGTATCACCAATGGAGACTTGGAATTGACAAGGATCTTGTAGTGCTGTACATGCCACAACCAGTTGTTTATTTATTAAATTGTTTTCTTTCATTACAGGCACCTCTCTACTCAGCGCTGACTAACGTGATCAAGGTTGGATGTAGAGGTGCTGTGTGGGTTGCTGAGAGAATATGAAAACAACATTATTACATTTACCAAAACATCCATAAATATCCAATAGCCTAAAAATATGTTTGTTTATTTTTTTAAATAACTTACTCATCATAGTCAACTTTTTTGTGCTAAGCTTTTGTAAATCATGGGAGTTGGCTGCAAAAGTGTGCAGTGCAATTTTTTTTTCCATATGTAAAGTCTTACAATCAATGGTTTCAATTAGGGCATTCAGGGAAGTTTATATTTTTGAAAAATATCTAATAAACAAAATTGTTATCAGCATCCTTCAAATCCCGACGTGATAATTGGATTGGCTACCCTGATACCACCGATCATACTGCAAAACACCCATGCCATGTTCTATGATCATCGCGTACAGTTTTGAATTTAAATTTTACATGTCCTTCAGTTTAAATGAAATACATTTTGTAACATAGGTATGCAGCATACATGTATATATGATATATACTAGCTGTACACTGAATGAGAAATCACAAGATGAAAGCACATTT